GGGGCGGCGGGGGGAAACGGGGCCCCGCGGCTCCGCCACCTTACACCGGCTCCAGCCCGCGGCGCCTCCGCTGCCCTCTCGCACGCTATTGACCAGGCTCCGGCCGAGGCGGCGGCACCCTGTCCTTTTCACGGCCACGTCCCCGGCGTTAACCACCTCAGGTAATCGCTGAGTCCCCGTAGTCCCAGTAGCGAATAATCACAACATACTTACAACTAATTAAGCCTTTAGCAAGCCGTTCCTCTTCATTCCAGTCTCTAAATCACAGTTTGCAAGAACAGAGAGCGATCCACACTTGCTGGTTCACGTTCTGCAAGTGGGAAACTTTTATAGCTACGGTGGTCAAGTACTGGGTCGTTTTATAAGCATCAAGCACTTGGAGAGCAATCAACTAATAATAGTAATGTGACAGTTAGCTGATGGAGTGGAGAGGAATCTAGTTAGCGTCAGATCTACCCAATAGCGATTGTCTTTAGTTTAAAGCAGCGTTTTTCTCTGAAAACTTTACCAAACAGAGGCAGAAACAGGATATTACTTCTGGTACATTCCTTTTTCCTCTTAAAGATGACTCTTCCCTACATTTTCAATTGCAAGGTCTCGAGTGCAGGAGACCTTTATTTTTCCTATCTCACTTGTACCTGCCACACTGGAACCTAACTTTGATCTGGATATATAAATATTAGGAGAATAATCACATGACCGTAGGCTTTTCAAGTCTTAACGACAGACATTAAAGTTAAAACACAAACGTGATTGTTTTTAGAGGGGAGAACAGGAACTTTCTTGCAGTACCACACTCAAATAGCTGTACTTGTATTTCTGAAGTAAAGGCACTAGCTTTAAGGTAGTGCTTTCAACTCTCAGTAAAACAACAATTTGGGGGGAGCGATCACCTATAACTGAAGAATAAATTTGGACAGAGCAAATCACAGGTGCTTTGCTCTTCTATAGCAGTGAAGATCATACACGTTGCCTTTTTAACTTACATTCTGCATTTCATTATTTATATTACCCCTTAAAGGAAAAGTCCTATTCCAGGACTGGAGCTCACCACAGTGGTATGGCTTGCAAAGAAACAGACCTCTCTGCTCCAAAAAACCTAAGAAAAAGAGACAACAGCTTGACATAAACAGATAAGTGCAATTAAACCATCCCAAACAGTATGATAGGCAGGGATCTCACCAGCTGGCCAAACACTGCCTTTGTCACACCACTTAAATCTACCTTGTCTGTATCATGGTTGCAAGCCATATTGTCCTCCCTAAGTCATGACTTTCTTCATTTACTAGGTGTCTGAGTCACTTTTGGATTTCAAGACTCTATATATCACTGTTTGGCTTTTGTTGGATTACTGGCCTATGTGCTGAAAATTTATCAACACATGCTGTGAAGTGTTTAATAGAAGTAAATAGGTCCAATAAATTAGTTTAAACTACACACCTCAAAAGCTGTTTCCATTCCTTTTCTTTTATAGAATTAATTTCATAATAGCTTTTTGTTTGATTTTGGGAAGTAAATTCCAATTCTAAGATGACCACCTGGTATCAAAGGGGTTTTCATATGAAGTAATTTTATATTAGATAACAAGAATTGTGGAGATTCAATTTTTAGATACATTTAGATAAGCATCAGGCTGACCCAGATGCCATTACAATCAATATAGGGTAATACAGATGCTAGAACACTTTCAAGTATTGATTACTAGTAAAAAAAAAAAAATTTTAACAGAAAAAGACCAAGTGAATGTTTCCATTTACTGCAGTTGCATTTCTCCTTCATAAATCACCCAGTCTGTACTGTCAGTTATTTTAGGCTGAAATACAATGAAATGGATGTCAGTGGAAAAGTTGCGAAGGTTGTTCCTTCTGATTTTTTTTTGTTTTTAATTAAAAGAAATGCCTACACAACTCAGAACAAGTTAACTACTTTTCTTCCATGTTCATTTCGTTGAGTTATTTTAATATAAACAACTGCAGTTCATGTAGGCAATAGAAAGTTCACAAATTTGCTTACTCGAGCATTTGATTTGACATGTTTACTTTGAAAGAAACCAAAGACTACAAAAGTAAAGTATAGTAGTAATTAAGAACACATTAAAAATAAGATTATTATTATAACTAAATTACAAATGATATAAATACTTAATTCTTGTTTAATCCTTGCACTAGTCAACATTTCTGATCTTAGGAGTATGGTTGTGGCGGAAGAGGATGGCTTTTAAATTTAGCTTGCTCTTATTAGCATGGGGAGTGCCACCCAAATCTCTTTATTTCAAAAGTTATAAACCAAATTTTTACTTTGATTATAAAATATGCTATAACTAAAGTACAACTACATCATACTATTATTGCTTTGGTGTAAATCTGGCATTCCAAGATGGTAGGCTTTTGGAATCCTTCAGCTAGGTAGTAGGTCATCAATATTCTTTACACACCTTCTGGCTTACAAGGAATCAACTATCTCCCACTTAAACTGACAATTCTGTTTTTGCGTTAGGACGGACAAAATATTACAGTTCATGAACACTTTTCAGGAAAAGGTCCCAAAAGACCCAGAGTAGTTCAAGAGTCTACCTACACATTCCTGCACTTTTCTTTCTCTTTCCCCCTCAGTTGTTGTGGAAATTCATAGAATTAAAAGACAAAGTCTAAATGAAACATATTGGTGACATCTCACACCAATTACATACCATGTTTTTCATTTTGGATAGGAAATACATGAATCTGATTTTTGCCCTGATTCTATGGACTTTTAACTGTCATGGAAGCAGTCATGATGTAAAGAAATACATTTCATTTCCGACAGAAGAGCAAAGTATAAATTATTTGGAAATTCTACATTTATCATCTTACATGCTAACATCACTGAATAATGTTTGGCTTGCACTTTCTTCAAGCACTTTTTATGAATAATGTGGAAATATTGCCTACTATAGTTTAAAAAAAAACATGAAAACATTTAGGAATACCTTTGCTTCCATTTAAAAAAAAGAATCTGTTTTTCTGTGATGAATGTTAAGGGGTAATTTTCTTAGTATCCTTTTATTAAACAAGAAAAGTCATGGTAGACCATTTCCTTTGACGCTTTACACCCTCTCAAGCAGTAAATTTGCTGTGGAATATGCTGTTTGCTCTGTTACTTTTATTTCCAGCTACTGCTATTGATTTCTGAAGTCTAATGAAACATTTATTGTTCCCTATAATTTCATTCACAGACTTTCAAAAAAGCTGCTGAAATGCATACATTTTTGAGCTGCAGGATGAGAGGAGATAAGCTAAGTGAGAAGGTGAAAAAACCTTCATATACTGGTATTGAAGAGAGACTCTGCTGAGAAAAAAAGTATAGCAACTTGAATGGTGGAAATAGGTCCACAGCAGCATTTAGAATTTCTGTTTTATTACATATAGAAGCATACTTGCTTTTTTATAAATCATAATCAATTGGCATTTCACACACGTCATATGACACATTTTCATAGTTTTTACATTTATCAAATGAGTAAGAGAAAAGGAGTGAAATGGTGACTTCAGAATTAATAGAGAAAAGGAGTGAAATGGTGACTTCACTAAAGTCTGTAGAATTACACAAGGCCCTGCTTTTGAAATATCATTTTGGGTTGTTTGCAACACAGCTTGAAACGTATCTAATTCAAGTTTGTTTCCAAACACTAGATTTGTAACAAAATTCTTCTGAAGTACCTGGACATTTAGAATCACTCTGTATTACTTTTATTTAACATAGCACAGATTCTTGTGGGCTGGCTTTGTGTGGCAAAGCATACACAAAGGTCGTTCAAAAGGTAATAACCAACTATGAAACATCATTTCAGTTTATGGGAATTCAGCAATAGACAGATCATCCTTATTATGTCTAGCACAAGAAAAAAAGAACCTTGCTGCACTTCCCTGACGCCTCGCTACTGTACTGTGCTCCTTTCCAAAATTAAGGGTTCCATATCCTTAGCCAGTCTTGCACATGCATGTAGATGCACACAACTGCTTAAATTTCCTCCTAAATTGACAACTGACTTCCTACAAGGAAGTGAGTGAAACTAAAATGCTTTTAATTATAACTCACTGTGCCTTTGATTCTGTTTCATTATTAACAGATCTCATCATACAGCCTTATTTAATGATACAAGTTAAAATGCTACATTTGAATGGTATTACGCAAGAATGGTATTATTCATAACCACCATATAAAGTCTTAAGAGTTTTAGAAAAAGAAAAAGTTTTAAATTTGGTGATAAAACTACCATTTTAAAATATATAAAACAGTGGTCTCAAACGAACACTTTCATGGTTATTAGGTATTTTAAACAAAATAAAGTAAAAAATGCATAGTGGAAGTCATTACTGCCCAAATAATGGCACTATGTACTCCATTACTCTTATGCTGTAATACAAAATGACAACTTACACCCACACAAAGGTAACTTCAGGGCAGTGGCAACATGTTCAATTTTGTGAGTGTAATTACTTTATTGCACGTGTGTCACAAATCAGAGACTGCATATACCCTAGCTGAAACACCTTCTATATCTAAACACTTGATGACTTTGAGACACTGTAATGAGCATTTTATAGTATAAGACTTTAAAGGAAACAACTCCATCAGCTTCAATCACAAATTATCTCTGGCAAAAGTACAGTATTTCATAAATAAACTTTACCCAAATATTACAGAAAAAAGCTTTGGGATACATTAAATATAAATACAGTGACAGCTGAGCTGCAAATTTAATTTAGATATATACAATACTATGCTCACCAGTTCTTTTCCTAGATGTATTTAACCTCCCTGAGTCCTTTTCCATATTTAGCAAGGTGGTACATTTTCAGATGTTTGCTCAGTAACAGCAGTGATAGCTTTGCGGTTATAGAAAGAAAGGTGGGAAGGAGTGAGTCAATGTGCACTCCATTTCATTCGTTGTGTATTTTAAACTTACTGTACTTTCGCTTCTAAGAGCCCACTGGTCATGACATGGCCATGACCGCTTACACAAGCATTGACATGTCTTAGTGAATCTGCTCCAAGGTAGGCCATTAAAAGTTCAGTGCGTCGGATTAGTAATTGCATAAGATCTTCAGCCAAACTCTCCATAGTTGAGTATCGCACCTTTTCAAAATCAAAAATGTCCTTCAGGAAGAAAAGCACTTGATCCTAGTGGGGGAAAAAAATAAAAAAAAAAAAGAAAAAGAAAAAAGGAAACTTGTAAGTGTACAACAACAACTTGTAACTTGTACAACAACAAAACAGTATGCAATGCTATTTCTTTCTTTTACACATATTCCCCCAAACAAACATTTTTTAATTCTTTTAATCTGGAAGTTGGTGGGTTTTTTGGTGGGTTTTTTTTTAACACTATGATAAGTTGTAGTTAAAAAAAAAGTTGCAAACCTTGAAGAAGCAGCATAGGTCATAAAGGGAGTTTCTAGGGCCCAGAAAGCCCCATGCCAAAACAGGGCTGATATGTTCACATATAGCATAGAAATGTGCAAAAAATCCATCAGGTACCTAGTGGTGTAAAAAAACGGAGAAAAAAGTTACATAGTAAATTTAGTATAAATCTCTATTATGTGAAATTAAGTCTTTAGGAAAGCCTAAAAGACTTTATACTTTAGGGCTGTGGTAACCCCAAATCCTTTAAAGTATATGGCAACGGTACCAAGTGTCATGATTGTTTTAGAAAAGACTTTTACTTCAGTCGTACTTTGAGTTTTTTAAGATTAATAGGTTTAAGACCAAAAAGATTATGAATCATCCACTCTGACCTCCCATATGGCAGAACAGTGTTTTTTTTCAGTTACTCCTGTTTGAGGCACAGTTGAGGGAGGATGTGCTAGAACTGCGGTAGCTGGTGAGGAAGAGGGTATTCAGGCAGGTAAAGGGATAGGACTGAACTTTCATCTCGCTGTAGAGATGATACAGGGACACAGGGTTGAAAATCCTAGTCTAAGTAGGTGAGATAAAAGATTAGTGACCTTGGTCTGCAAAAATAAGAGGTACATGTGTGGGGCCAAGAAGCCAGAGAAATTACTCTTACCACTCCTGACTGGACCTAAATTAGTTTGAGAATCTTTTAGCTAAGACTTTTTTTGCTAAGAAATAGATATTAAGGCCCCCAAAAGCTAGATTCCTTCAGTTGACAGACTCTTGCCTAAATTAACATGTGTACAGGATTAAAGGTTGATCTGTAATTTATTTTTCCAAATCTACAAGGCAGAACTTCAGGTTCTTCAGAGCTGATCGGTAAGTTTGGTCCAAGTAATCTGCAAGGCAACTTACCTTCATTTGTTGTCTTTTCTGCTTCAGTACTGACCAACAGCTTGAAGCCACAGCCTAAATGAAAAAGAAAAATCTTAAAAGCACTGAAGTGTAGAATACTCTATTTCTATATTTTGGAGATTTGTATGTTCTTATTTTCAATCTTGTGATAATATAAAGTTTAAAACTGTAAAATATCAGCTAACACTGATAACTAATTTTCTATCTAGCTCATTTGTTATTTTGAAATCTCTTTCCAACATTTTCTTTAGTTTAATTCAAATGTAGTTTTGCACCCTTGACTGCTTTTTACAGTTGAACAATAAACAACGTTTACTAAGCTTAAGAGAATCAGCCTATTATATATCAAAATGCGTGCTCAGACATCAGTAACTATTTTAGACATTAAATAGCATGTGAACACATTCAAATGTCTTTTTTCATTTCAGCAAAAACATTCTTGCAATAGCTTTGGATTCAGCTAAGTAGTTTTGTCCAAATATGGACTTGTGAAATACAATATACTGATATCAAAACTAGGCTTTTCCCCCCTCATAGCTTGTAACAGAGTTCCGACCTAATCTGATGTTCTTTCAGTACTGCAAGATAATTTACTACTCACAAAACACAATTTTATCATATTAAAAAATATAAACATATGCATGTTACCTTTTTTTTTTTCCTGTAGAGGGAATATTTCAATTGAAAGACAAAAATAAAAGGAAAACTGGAGGTTTACAGATATAAATGGATGAAATGACAATAGTATCTCTAGCAGGTAGTCATGGCAGTAGCCAGTATTTCTATGACAGAGGGATGAATTCTATTTGACAAATAAACAGGTAGAAACACGTGAAAAAGCCTGAAACGTTATGAACATCTGAATCCTTTTATTGCATTCATTTACTTGCTACTTTTTGTCTCTTATCGCTAAAACTCTGGCATATGAACATAAATTGTATATAATAGCTCAGATGTGTTTAACAGAGACTTCCTTTGTAATATTCTACTTCCTCAGAGCAAATCGATGTTTTTTGCAGAACAAGTTAAAATATCTTCTCCAAGTATAATCAATCATCCTGAATATTTTGGGCCCAGACTGATAGCTTTAAAATTACAATTATGAAAACCTGATAATACAGTACGTTCATTTTTGCTGAGGAATACCTCAGGTACATATTCAGTTATATTGGAAACTGAATTAGACTTTACACCGAAGGATGGTATACTTTCTTTGCCTCAAAGCTAATGCTGTTACTAGGACAATATAATCTTTATATGGCAATTGTTGACACTGACACTTAATTGGAAAGAAAGGATGAAGTTATTCTCCTTGTTACACTGTTCTTTAAGAATATAAAGCACAGATCACCCAAAGAATGGTTTCAGCATATACAGATATTTTGTATCAGAATGCTTAAACCAATGTTACATCTATCATACCCTCTACCTATTGCAAGGTACTACAGAATAATGAATATGAAAATTACACATAAATACTTACTGTTTCTTTAAAAGAGGAATTTAGCCAGCGGTTGTTTACTACATTCTGTATAGAGATTGGTGGATTTTCTAAATCTTCAAAGGAATCCATTAATATGAAGTCCAAAACAATATCATAAAAATTCAGGTTTTTCACCTATGTTAAATCAGAACATGATCTAAGTAACTGTTTCTCTTTCAGAACTGGAATTCAGCATGTGTCAGTATTCCAACTCTACATTAAGAGGCAGATTTGTCATAGTTTTTTAATGAAATATTAAAGATACTTTGTCAGAAGGGGAGAAATTGAAAAATACCAAATGTTTTCTGGTACCAAACTGGAATGATGCGTGCCATTTCTCCAAGTCAACAACGTAAATATAAAATAGTTGCCTTTCCCACAACTGTGAACGGTAGAAATCTATTTTAAGAGGCAACAGTTTGCATAATTAAAGCGTAAAAGCACTTTTCAGAAATTCAGACTCACCCCTCTAGCAGCAAGTTCCATTTCAGTATTATCCCAGTGATCTGTTTGTTCCAAAAAGTATATCATTTCATCAAAGACATCTTCAAATTTCTTTGGATTCTGTGAAGTAAAAGCAATGCGTGACAAGCAATAGGAGAGACGGTTTATTTACACCGGAAAGTACATTGTAGTAGAAGTTACATTAAACAGTAAAACTTTAGTTAAAAAAGGATTTTTACCTTTCGTGCTCTCAAAATTAAGGCGGACAAAATTTTCCTTCCGCTTTCAGCAAGAAATATTCTGTTAGCTGTTTCTGAAAGAATTATCTAGAAAAGTTTGCAGAAAATACAGACATATTACTTAACAGGCTATATACTAAGCGGCCTGAATTACTTCAGTCAAATTCAATGAATACTTTTTGATTATAAACTCTTAATATAGTGGGAAGTTCTCAATCAGTCTTTGGAGCAAAAATTCCAAAGCTAATCAGAAAACTGGGACTCCTTTACACGTATGTCCCATTAGAGAATTATAGAAACATAAAAGCAACAAGAAAACATTTACTTACATGGTATTTCAAAAATGCTTGCAGAAATACTGCATTGATAGCTTCACTGCCATGTAGCTTAACAAGACATAAAACTCCGCATTTACCTGAAAAGCTTGTCGAATACAATGAAGTTTAGCAAGAAAGTCACTGTCTCCTAGACATTCGAACATTTCAGTCCTATATAAAATAGAAGTTTTACAAACATTAAAAAGAGAAGCACAAGAAAATTCTACCGAGTCTAATTCTTACTTAGAAATAATACCTAGCACAAGTAATTTTTTCAAACGAGTTCTATGTAAAATATTTAACTTACTTTCTTTTCTTGGAAATTATCAGGTAAACATAAATCAATACCTTAACACTCGGGAATAAATTTTGCCTTCTTCTGCCAAGTGCATAGCTTCTTCGTACAGTGGACAATGGCAAAGGGAATCTAGACCATAGGTATTACGAATCTCTCGGTGCTCTGTAAGCTGAAATACAATTTTTTTTAATCTTCATTAAAGAGCTTGCTAAAATAATTTTCAAAGAGATAAAACAAATTAAGCAAAAGTTGGCCTGATATTCCAGTAAAAGATGTTTCCTTTTCTGCACCCACCCAAAAAACAAAGGTTTAGCACTCAATCAGCAAACAAAAGTTAAACACCATACAATCGAGGCGGCTATTGCTTTGTAACTTTTACAATCTGAAAGCTACAGGTTCAGATTTCAATTTTCAAAAGGTCAGTTAATAAAACAGAATCAGTTTTGGTTTTGACTGGTTACATCTAATGTTATAAACTTATAAAAAAAATCTGAATGCTATTAAAAAAAAAAAAAGATACAAAGTACAGAAAGACTGTATCACGCAAATCTTTAGGAAATAATGGCATCCTCTCACCCTTCTTGCTGTTTTCCTGATAAACGTGCCTACTAATTACCAAAGCATGTTGTACGAAGCATGAGCATCCAGCATTTTACTAGGGGCTTTCCAAAATGTGTTAATTTTCTGCAGTTTTAATTCTGTCTACGTGGTTATCATATAAATTAAAATAAACTCGTAGACAGTTTTAGAGCAAAGAAAAAAACAAAAACAGGTAAGTCAAAGCACATAAATAATACAGAGAACTCCTGTATATAGAATATTATATTTTATCCACACAACAATGGCTACTTACTATTGCCACTAAAAACATTACATCATTTTATTAATGTTCCAAAAAAAAAAAATCAGAGGAACGCATACTTCTGTTTAGTAAGTGACTAGAATATGAATTCCAACAATTTTTTTTAATTCATTTTTTTGTAGATGTCCTTGGTGGTGGAAACAAACCGGTGCTTCCAGGTTATAAAAACAGAGCCTAGAAATGTCTTAAAAAGAAAGAGAGAGAGATCTCACCATAATTGGAATCTCTCTACATAACAGTTATGCTATATTTTAGAAAGATTTAAAATCAGATTTAAGTATAACTTACATATTACATTTTTTTTATTAAAATCATTACATGAAAATCTTGTTTTTAGCAATTGTTGCTAATTACAGCAACAATAGTTTGGCCAAGTAGGTTTCCTGCTAAAGGAAAAAATGTAAGCATGTGACAATACCTGTTTTATTTCATGTAAGCATTTAAAAACACGAATGAGTTACAAATTTTTCAGATTCATGAAGCTGGTCTTCTAACGTGTGTAACATACTGTTAAAAGGTATGTATTTGTTGGAATGTAAACTGATATTCTGAATGACTGATACCAGGATCCTGTTACTGTAAGGAAACACATCATATAATTCTTTTCATAAAATTCTCAGGTTCCATTTTAAATTGATTTGTTTGGAATTTTGTTCTACCCTGTATAGAAATGCTTTCTTGAACTGAGATTCAAGTGATGATGCGATAACTATGGAACAAGTGAAGAAATAAAAACTTTAAGGTCAATAAAATGTTGTATCTAAATGAGTCATGTATGCTGTTAGAATTCAGCTAGCTTGAAAACAATTCTATTCTAAAAGTACATGTTTATTTATCAGTTGTTTTGTTTGGAAGGACAGAGTAGAGCTGACTTCCCAAAATAAGATTTACAGCTATTAACACTAAAGATTTCCTTAAAAATTTAACAATATGATCCATAGCATCAAAATATATTTTGGATTTTTTAATTCAAAGTGCTAGTCTGAAAATGTATATTCTTACTAAGTATAGGAAACTGCATACATTCATTTGAAAATATACATGAAAATATGTAGGAAGAAATAATTTAACCAGTGGGAAGAAACAGGAATACATTGATTTCTTACTTTTTCTGACACATATTTATATATGTGTGTATGTTTGTAGGTTTGTGCATGTGTGCGTGCGTAAAAAATATGGTAACAGATAGAACAGGTAAAACAAGTATAAAAATCTTTACTCCAGAATTTGTTTTTCCACGTTATAATTATGAAAATGTTACCTGTGGGGAAAGATAAAAACACATTTTCCAAAATAAAGAACATAACACAAAATACTATACTAATTTTTTTCCTATGTGATCCAGCTATTACTGAAGGCATTTAAAAACCCAGTTACTTTATTTCATTTGCAAAGCATGAGAAAGGAACAGGTTGTAAACATATATGCCCTTTGTAAACAGCTCTCCCTTTCTTGGGGGTTATCATTTCTGTGGTAAAAGGGATTACATTAGTTTTCTCCAGTGAACTTGAGGCAAACCACCTTCTTCAGATATTTGGGCAAAATGATTTTGAATCCTACAGTTAGATGCAGATAACCTCCTCCTGCTGCCAGCCAGCCTGAAATACTGTCTTCAGCAGAGGAAGATGTCTGATCATAGCCTTTGGGGTTACAGATTAACATAGAACCCGATACCTGGGAATTGATGAGGATGAGGTCCTTGATGATCTTTATTTTTCACTTCCTCTCATGCTAACAGATGAAATAAAATAGCTGTGTTATTGCTGTATGTGTATTATTGAACTCAAATAAAGAAAGTAGTTAAATCAACCAGCTAAGTAGGAGAGAACGGTATAACCATCCTGCCCCGGGATGGTCTTGATCATAGACTGAAGTTAGTTCCAAACAATAACATTTGAAAAAGGGGTGCCACTAGGATTAGACAACTGCCCTAAAAAAAAAAAAATCCTCTAAAACTACTTCTCTTAACATATAAAGAAGGGGGAAGAAGATAGATGTGTGGGTTGGGGGTGGGGGGAGAACAACCCTCTAACTTTAACTAGAAAACATGATTTCCAGAAAAGCTCTGAAGCTGCATCTTAATGCTTGTGGAGTCATAACAGATTTTCTTGTAATGCTTTCTTATTATATTTTAAATGGCTGTGCAAACACTCAGTAGTGTTCATTATTTCCGAGAAGAAATAAGGCAAAAGATTGCCAATATAAATTTCTTAGTTCAGAAGCAAACTAAAGATGCTCTCAGCACATATCTACATTTCTAACATAGCAGAGATCAGATATTAGAACGGGCAAATCGTACAGAAAGTTTAACAACATACAGAGCATACAATATTTTCTAGATAAGAATGTCTCAAGCTGGCATCAAAAGAAATCTCTTTCCTTCCAGAACAGTCTCCAAGAACTTGTCACTTCTGAGGTAAAAGGTGGAGAGAAGTGTTAATTTTAAACGAGATGGTTCACTATAACTACTTTATATGCATACATTGCATTCAAATAGCTAGGTTTTACCCTACTGAGTACCCCTATGCACTGCCTAACCGTTTCCCCAACAGCAGTGATGGAGTTATCAGAAGTAGTCAGAAAGCCACGGCATCCCCCATCCTGTTGTCACAAATATATTTGGCTCTTGAAAGTTCCTGGGATCTTTCTTGTGTTTCTGTAGTCAACACTCCTTTGCACAGCCAGTGCCATTTTGAAACTCTTAACTCTTTCATTAAGGATGAAAAAGTGCTCCATGCACAGCTACTGAAAGTGCTGGTAGCTGAGTAACACAGAGCCTTGTGAAGATGGAGCTGACATACCAACCTCTAAATGGCTGTTTCCTCACTGCTACCAGTGGCTACATGAAGAGGAAAATGGGAACGAGGACAAAGAAGAGATGAACAATTTTAAACTGCTGCTTTAGAAAGTATTTAATCTTGTGATGCTTAACTTCCACCAGTTCTAGACTCAAGAAACAGCAGGTGTTGGCAACCACTGTGCAGGATATTTATGATGACCTTAGCGGATACATTACTTCATTATGTTGAAACAATACATAGATCTTCAAAACTTGCCATAGCTTGCCATCTCTATGCACTGTGTGACCATCAGCTTTTGAAGACTGCAACAGTGGATTATTCTTGGTCAGATGCTAATCAATTTTCTACAGGCAGTTCAGCTTTAAGGTCATGCCTGCTATTAAAGAGGTGCCAAAACCATAATTGTTAAATGTGTCAAACTTCTGAAACTTTTAGTAGTTTTTAAGCCTCGGCTTCCCTAGCTGCTCTGGTCTAATGAACAGACTCAGTACTTCTATTTGTCACCCCCAAGTTATTTCTTAATAAATAGAAGGAATTCTCAGTTACAGAATCACAGAATCGTTTAGGTTGGAAGGGACCTCTGGAGATCATCCAGTCCAACCTCCCTGTTCAAGCAGGGTCACCTAGAGCATATTGCCCAGGATCACATCCAGACGGGTTTGGAATATCTCCAGGGAAGGAGACTCCACCACCTCTCTGGGCAACCTGTTCCAATGCTCTGTCACCCTCACAGTGAAGAAGTTTTTGCTCAGGTTCAGATGGAACTTCCTGTGGTTCAGTTTCTGCCCATTGCCTCTTGTCCTGTTGCTGGGCACCACGGAGAAGAGGCTGGCCTCATCCTCTTGACACTCCCCCTTCAGATACTTGTACACATTTATGAGATACCCTCTCAGTCTTCTCTTCTCCAGGCTGAACAGGCCCAGCTCTTGCAATCTTTCTTCATAGGAGAGATGCTCCAGCCCTCTAATCATCTTGGTAGCCCTCCGCTGGACTCTCTCCAGGAGTGCCATGTCTCTCTTGT